ATGTACGTAGGTATGCATATATTAATATAATGTTTTGAAAGAGTAAGTTGAAGGTAACAACTAAAAGCCTTTAAAATGTGCTATCTTTTGATGAAGCAAGTGCATTTCTAGCAATTTATTTTTCTGAAGTAATTCAATAATGTGCAAAGGGATGAAAAATATTTTTTATTAAAGCATTGCTTATGACAAAAAACTAAATAACCTAACTGTTCAATAATCTGTGATTTTTCATCAAATTATGATACATCCATAGAACAGAATAGTATGTACTTCTAAAATTGCCATAGAAACATGTTTAGAATACATTGTGAATTTTAAAAAGATGGTCCTAATATAATATGTAGTATCATCCTACTTTGGCTAAAGAGTTCATTTCTATGAATTGAACAAAGCCTGGAAAAATATACACAAAAATGTTGCTGTTGTTTTCATCAGGTACTGGAATTGTAAAAGTTTTTCTTTTCTTTTCCTTGTGTTTTTCCTCCTGTAGACCATGAAACATTATGTTTTAGGTAGCAAAACATAAATTTAAAAAGAAAAGTATGTGAACACCATGCTGTTACCAATTTAATGAGAAATCTCGGGCACTGGGAAGTAATCATCAAGTATGTGTGTTTGCGTATGCGTGTGTGTACATGCACACATATATGTAAATGACAGTCTGTTGATGGCTGCCCAGTGTCTGAACACATTTTTTATTTTGGGAAATCTCAAAAAGTCTGGGATAATCCCTTTCCTAGTTATTTGGTTACTGATCATCAGTCATGTTACCTTTGTTAACCAAACTAATGCTCCCACCCAGGACTTTGAATTTTGTGAGAGTGAGGCAGAGGTGTAGAAGACCATCAGAGATTACTCATGGAAGCTGCGGTCACACTGAAACAGCAAACTTCAATGAGTGTCCAAAGGCAGCAGAACCCAGCTGCATGTTAAAGATTGTCCAGTGGAAACTGTATCAGCAGCAGATTTCAAAGCAGAATTTTCCTATGGTATGGCACTGGTAGGGCTTTATCTTTCCTCATTTCTACTAGTTTCTTAAGTCTAGTTCTGCAGCACCCCTAAAGATTCTGTGGGCTCTATGATATTACCAAATATTCCTTTTCTGCTTTAGACAAAGCTGGCTTCTATTGTTTAAAACTAAGAATTCTGATTGGTACGATGCCTAGCAACTATCATGAATCATAGTCTTCCATTTCAGAAACTGCCACTATTTTTCTAGGTAGTTCAAAAGCATACTAGAAAGAGAATGCAGTGAAGCCAGACTGATCAGGTTTGAATACCAGCTACTATAATTACTAGTTGTGTGTGACCTTAGACAATAGACCTAACCTCTCTCAGTCTTAATTTCTTCATCTGTAAATTATTATTATTATTATTATTTCTTCTTCTCCTTTTCCTTCTTTAGTAGAGACAAGGTCTCACGATGCTGCTCAGGCTGGTCTCAAACTCCTGGACTTAAGCGATTGTACCACATAGGCCTCCCAAAGTGATGGGATTACAGGTATGAGTCATCCTACCGAGCCTGTAAACTATTTTTGATCATCCAACAACATTAACATTTTGCATCTTTCATATTTATCTCAAATTCTTAAATTTCTTCTGGTATTTCAGGGTCCACATCTACATGTGCACTTTGAAATGATGTATATATCTCCATTATCTTGAACACTACTTGTCAATACTATCAACTCTTTCTACTCACTAGGTTATAAACTAAATGCATAAACTATAAACTCTTACAAATAAATGCAAATGTCTGCTTTCTTCAATACATAGGTTTCTGGAGTACTGCTAGACAAATTAGAAGTAACCCATAAAAAGCCAAGATGGCTTTTGGCCAGACTCATAAAACTATGTTCAGATTAAAAACAAATAAAACAGGAGCCTATATGTAAAAATCATTGAAAAATGAAAAACAACTTAAATCATTAATGAACTCTCATGAAGATACACTAATGTAGAATTCCATTGCTAATGCATAGTAAAAGATAATTAGATTCTTTTGTCTTCTCCCTTAATTGTGCAGCAGGGCAGCTATCCCGGGATCTTATTTCACACCCCGAAATATTCCTCAAACTCTATCCTCCACCCAATATGACTTTTTCCTTCAATACATCCACTTTTCTGGTCTTTCAAGATTGATTATATTCTCCCTCAAACTTACTAATGTAAGTGATTCCAGTTTTATTGGCTTCTTTCAAGTTTCCTCCCTTCCTAGTACCTAAAACAGCACCAAAAATTGGCCCTTAATTTGAGCAGGAAACAGGGAAAGACTTATAAACTTTTAAGTATTAATAATCTTTTATCTTCTCCCATGGCTTACAAGAAGTTTCCTCCTCTCTTCATCTCCCTCTCTGTCTCGGCCTCCCAATGCACATACCACAACTGTGTACATTTGTGCCACGACATATTTTGATCTAAAAACTCCACTGTGTCTTTAAAAATGCTCAGCAGTCCTACATTTCCCTGACTAGTCCTTTTCTCTATTTCTCAGCCCAGATATTTCTTCTGAGCTCAGTTCACAAATTCCACAGTCTTCTGGATATCTTCATATGAGCACCCTATGGTCGTTTCAAATATGAAATTTCTGGAGAATAAAAAACTCATCAACTTTTCCCCTAAATTGTCTCTTTCTTGTATTCTCCACCCAAATATCAACTTTTCATCTCGTCAGTCAAACAAGGAGTGATTCCTGACCTTTTCCTTTGAATCACACTCAGTGTTCATGAACCAGGAAGTTGATTGTTGAATTTGCTAAGTATCTCTTGATATTCGTTGCAATTAGCTTAGGTCAGACTAGCATCCATGCTTTCCTCTATTTGGTCTTCCCACCTCCAGATCAGTCTCACCTAAGTCTATTATTTTTACTATAGTCAAAACAATCTATCTAAAATACCAATGGCATTCTGTTACTTAACTATATGGGTTCTCCAGTCTGACTGTTGAGTTTTCAATCAGGCTTAATGACCAACTAGGAAGAAGAGACAGTGTATGCCATAGTTGTTAAGCACATAGACACTACAGTCTGTCTGCCTTGGTTCAAATCCAGCATTGCCTTCATATATGACCTTGGACAAATTACTTAACCCCACAGGGCTCAATTTTTTCCCCTTCTTTCTATTTATTTATTTCCACAGGGCTCAGTTTTTTTTTTTTTATAAAACTGAAATGACAAAAGCATCTGTATTATAGGGTGGCTGTGAGGGTTACATGAATGAACATAAAGCTCTTGTAGAGTGACAGCCATATAAACGTATGCTATTATTATATGGCCTTACATAGAATGTATAACCTTTCTGGACTTCAGTCTCTTCCTCTTCTACAAATAGGAATAATATGTATGACACATTTTTTTTGACCTTAGATGATAAAAGAGATTAATGTTATATGTCATCCTCTGGTAAATATTCCTTGATCTCCCATTTCCCCAGTGTAGGAATAAATGTACAGGCATACCTTGTTTTTTTTGCTCTTCACAGCTATTGTGTTTTTTACAAATGGAAGGTTTGCAACAACCCTGCACTCAGCAAGTCTATGGGCGCCTTTTTTTCCCACAGCATGTGCCCACTTCATGTGTCTGTGTCACATTTTGGTAATTCTTGCAATAGTCCAAACTTTTTCATTATTATTACATCTAACATAGTGATCTGTGATCAGTGACCTTGGATGTTTCTACTGTAACTGTTTTGGGGTGCCATAACACATATCCATATAAAAAGGCAAATTCAATCGATAAATGTTGTGTGTGTTCTGACTACCCCAGAATCCAGCTGTTCCCCCATCTCTCTCCCTCTCCCCTAAGACACAACAATATTCAAACTAGGCCAAGTAATAACCCTTCAATGGCCTTTAAGTGTTCAGGTGAAAGGAAGAATCACATATCTCAATTCAAATCAAAAGCTAGAAATAATTAAGCTTAGTAAGGAAGACATGTCAGGCTGACAGCTAGGCTTCTTGTGCTGAACAGGTAGCCAAGTTGTGATTGTAAAGGAAAGTTATTGAAGCAAATTAAAAGTGCTACTTCAGTTAATACACAAATAGGAAAGCGAAACAGCCTTTTTGCTGTGAAATAGCCTTTTTGCTGATAAAAAGTTTTAGTGGTTTGGGGAGAAGATCAAACCAGCCACATTTCCTTAAACCAAAGTCTAATCCAGAGCAAGGCCCTAACTCTCTTCAATTCTCTGAAGGCTGAGAGAGGTGAGGAAGCTGCAGAAGAAAAGTATGACCCTAGAAAAGCAAGGTGGTTCCTGAGGTTTAAGAAAAGAAGCCATCTCCACAACATAAAAGTGTGAAGTGAAGCAGTAAGTTCTGATGGAGAAGCTTCAGCAAGTTATCTAGAAGCTCTAGCTAAGATCATTGATGAACAAACAACAGATTTTCAGTGTAGATGAAACAGCCATCTATCTATTAGAAGATGCCATCTAGGACTTTCACAGCTAGAGGAGAAGTCAATGTTCAACTTCAAAGCTTCAAAGGACCCACTGATTCTCTTGCTAGAGGCTAATGCAGTTGGTGATTTTAGGTTGAAGCCGATGGTCACTAACCATTCCAAAAAGCCTAGGGTCCTCAAAAATTATGCTAAATCTACTCTGCCTGTGCTCTATAAGTGGAATAACAAAACCTAGAGGATAGCACATCTGTTTGCAGCATGATTTGCTATTTTAAGCTCACTGTTGAGAGACCTACTGCTGAGAAAAAAATACTCCTTTCAAAATATTACTGCTCATTGACAGTGCACCTAGTCATCCAAGAGCTGTGATGGAGATGTACAAAGAGATTAATGTTGTTTTCATGCTTGCCAACACAATATCCATTCTGTAGCCCATGGATCAAATCTTTCAACTTGAAAATGCATCAACTTTAAAGTCCTTTTAATTAAGAAATACATTTTGTAAGGCTATACCTGCCATACATAGTGTTTCCTTGATGCATCTGGGCAAAGCAGATAGAAAACCTTTTGGAAAGGATTTACCAATCTAGATGCCATTAGGAATATTCATTATCTCTGATCTGGGTAGAGCAGCATCTGCTTGGTGGTGCCCATCTCATATCAGCCAGCGATACAGCAATCCCTTGTTTATCCCTTGGCCTTTGGTCTGTACCCATGCCTGGTTCATGTGTGGAAAATATGGGGACAGGAGAGAAGAATATTCTTGATTCATGGGAAGAGGTCAGAATATCAATATTAACAAGAACTTGGAAGGAGTGAATTCCAACCATCATGGATGACTTTGATGGGTTCAAAACTTCAGTGGCGGAAGTATCACAGATGTTGTGGAAAGAGCAAGAGATCTCTAATTAGAAGTGGAGCCTGCAGATGTGACTGAATTGCTACAATGTCATGATAAAATTTGAACAGATGAGCAGCTGCTTCTTATGGCTTAGAAAGTAAGTGGCTTCTGGAGGAGGAATCTACTCTTGGTGAAGATGCTGTGAACATTGTTGAAATGATAACAAAAGATTTAGAATATTACAGAAACTTAGTAGCTAAAAGAGCAGCAAGGTTTGAGAGAATTGATTCCAGTTTTGAAAGTAGTTCTACTGTGGGTAAAATTCTATCAAACAGCATCGTATGCTAGAGAAATCTTACATGAAAGGAAGAGTCGACCAATGTGGCAAACTTCATTGTCTTATTTTAAAGAATTGCCACAGACAACCCAATATTCAGCAACTATTACCCTGACCAGTCAGCAGATGTCGACATTGAGGCTAAACCCTTCACTAGCAAAAAGATTATTACTTGCTGAAGGCTCAGGTGATCAGTAGCTTTTTTGTTGTTGTTGTTAGCAATAAACTATTTTTAAATCAAGGCATTTATATAACTGTGAGGGAAATGGCTGCGCTTCAGTCAGGAGTAGGCTGAGGTGGCCTTCTGGTGCAGCATAACTCAGTGAGTTTGAGGTGCAGGTACACAACACACCACGTGAGGAGCATTAGATGATGACCTATGTGAGCTCATGCTTGGCTCAGAGTCGCTATTGTCTGTAAAAGGTATAATTACCCTGCTAACGCTGCACATATGGTTCACTTGCACCAGAGAGAGAGTAAAGCCATGTCGAAACTGTCTACAATTCCTTGAGTGTTTTTCCAGCTACTCGCCACTCACCCACCAACTCCCCTTGGACCTCAGTTAGAACTGACAATTGGCATCACAAATACGATCCTGAGGTGAGTGAGCCCACTTATTCCACTAATTCCGGGTCGGCCATGTGTCCACAACATGGGTTGTGATACCCGGTGGCAGCTGTGCTGCTTGGATGGGCTCTGATGGAAACATGGGCAGAGGTAGATGGGTCCTGAGCGAGCATGGAGAAGATGCTGAAGCAGCTGGAATCACAGAGCACTGAGAATGAACGAGTCTTTGCTTGCAGAGTTAGATGGGCATTTTGACTGCACTACGAGAACTACATAGCCAGTCCCTGAGGCGAGCGGTTGGCACAAGGGCAAGGTGACCACACCCTGACTGAGTGGCTATGTGCAGCCATATGGACTGTGTGGAATGACACTGGTGAAATACCTGAAACTGTGAGTAAATGGCAGTCATATGCTGACTTGGTGCAAGTCATCCAGGAGATGGGTATGCAGCAGGCTATGTCTGACCTGAATACCCAGAGGCCAGATGATGAACATTTCACCTCCCACATGAGGAGTCTCATGTTGGGTTCTGCACTCGAGTGCCTTTGGCTCCCTAGCTGCTGTACCCACCCTGTACATAGGGTGACACAGACATGAAGTGACCACTGCTATGGCGGCCTTGGGGGAAGCAGAAGGCCACTGGCAGGACCAATGGGTCTGCGCCTTAAAGAAGGGGAAAATGCCCTCCCCATGAGAGAAAAGGGGGCCTCAACAAGTGACACGCTCATGGATGTGGATAGATTGGATTTTGGCTGGGGTTGACCAAGAGAAAATCAAGAAGCAGCCCAATGAAGTACTTTTAGCTTTGTGGAGACAGTTGTCTCCAGAGCAGCAATTCCAGAAAATGCCCAAGGGGGAGAAAGACACTGCTGCGCCACCTGGTCCCACCCGGGTGCTTTAGCTCAAAGACTACTTGCTGCAGCCAGGTGGAAATGTAGAGCTGTTTCTGCTTGATTAGGGAACTGGCCGAGATGCCCAGTTTGGGGGGACACTGGATGATCGGAGGCCACATGCGGAATTAGCGATCCACTCGTCCCCCACCAACGTACAGTGGGTGCAGGTGCTGGCACTGGTGGATACTGGTGCAGATTGCAGCCTTCTTTATCGGAACCTGAATAAGTATCTGGGCAAACCTGCTTACCTTGATGGTTATGAAAGCCAGTCAGTGAACGTGAAACCTGTATCTCTGTATCTTGGCATCAGTTGTTTGGCTCCCTGTTTATATACTGTGTGTGTTTCTCCCATACCTGAATACATTCTGGGGGTGGACATTTTACATGGCCTGGCATTACAAACCACAGCCAGTGAATTCAAACTCCAAGTGCATGTGGTGAAGCTGGTGCTGCACAGACATATGCATCACCAGCCTCAGGTTCTGCCACACCGATGGGTTACTTCCACCCATCAATACTGCTTGCCGGGTGGACATACATAGATAACTGAGACAAAAAGCTGGAAGAGGTGCAGATAGTGCATGGCACCCATAGCCCCTACAATTCTCCAATGTGGCCAGTTAGAAAGCCTGATAGAAACTGGCAGATGATGGTGGACTACTGGGAACTGAAAAAAGTAACACCCCCTTTGCATGAAGCTGTACCGTCAATCATGGATTTGATGGACCGTTTGATGATGGAAGCGGGACAGTATCACTATGTAGTGGACTTAGACAATGCATTTTTCTCCATCAACATCGCTCCAAAGAGCCAAGAACAGTTTGCCTTCACATGGGACAGGCGACAATGAACTTTTACAGTGTTGCTGCAGGGCTATGTGCATAGCCCCACCATATGTCATGGTCTAGTTGCCACGGATTTAGCTGCCTGGCCAATGCCAGAAGGGGTCCACCTATTCCATTATATTGATGATATGTTAACCTCTGATTCTCTTGCAGATTTAGAAGTGGTGGCACCCCTCTTGTGGTGACATTTGGCAGCATGCAGTTGGGCCGTCAACAAATCTAAGGTCCAAAGGCCTGGTTCATTTGTCAAATTCTTGGGAGTTATCTGGTCGGGTAAGACAAAGGCCATCCCAGAGACTACCGTTGATAAGATTCAGGCATATCTCCAGCCAACCACAATGATGCAGCTGCAAATTTTTGTGGGCCTCCTGGGATACTGGTGGGCATTTATGCCCCATTTAGCTCAAATGATAAAACTATTCCATCATTTATCCAAGAAGGGAGCTACCTGGGATTGGAATGATGCAGCTGAGACTGCCTTCCTGGCAGCCAAGTGGGCTATTCAGCAAGCATAAGCCCTATGGGTAGTGGACCAGGGGCACCTATTTGAGCTGGATGTGCATGTGACCACAGATGAACACAGATGGTTTTGTTTGGGCCCTGTGGCAGTGCACAGAGCACTTGAGGACACCATGGGCTTTTGGTCTCAACTATGGAAGGGAGCTGAGCTCTGATATTCCTTGAGAGAGAAACAGCTAGCAGCTATATATGCCACCCTTCAGGCTTGTGAGAGTGTGACAGGACAGGGTGCAGTCGTCGTGTGGATGACTCAGCCGATAGCAGGATGGGTGTGTTCATGGATAACGACCCCCTGGACTGGGATCGCACAGATATCCACTTTGGCAAAGTAGAGTGACTACTTGGAGCAGTGGAGTGCACTGAGTACAAGTCCCTTTAGCAGCAGAGCTGCAAGAGGTCTTGGGACCTATAGTCCTAACACAAGATAAGGTCATGGGGCCTAAGGCACCCCTAGACCCTGAGCCTTCAGCATTTAAAGGAGGGTGTCCCTCCATTCTCGATAGGCCATGGTACACAGATGGGTCTAGTCGAGGTGCTATAACTGCTTGGACCGCTGTTGCAGTCCAACCTAGTACTGATACCATATGGTTTGAAACCGGGTGTGGACAAAGTAGCCAATGGGCTGAACTTAGCAGTGTGGATGGTGATCACCAAGGAGGTGACACTGATTCTCTTGCAGATTTAGAAGTGGTGGCACCCCTCTGGTGGTAATCTGTACCAATAGCTGGGTGGTCTACCGAGGCTTAACTTTGTGGTTAACTACCTGGAAAATACAGAAGTTGCTAGTCAGCAACTAACCCATTTGGGGTCAAGCCATGTGGCAAGACCTCTGGGAAATGGGTCATCAGAAACAGGTAACTGTTTACTATGTGTCAGGCCATATGCCTTTGGCCACCCCTGGCAATGATGAGGCAGATGCCTTGGCCAAGGTCCAATGGTTAGAGTTGGCACCTACATGAGATGTGGCCTTGTGGCTACGCTGGAAACTGGGACATGCAGGGGGTAAACTGATACAACAGGTCACTAAGCGTTGGGGTCTGTCCCTGCCCACACAAGACATTTGGGAGGCTTTTCAGAAGTGCCCGGCATGTGCTCAGGCATGCCCTAAACAGACAGAGGCACCTGTCCAGTGTTATGCAACAAGTAACGACAGGGCGAGTGCCCTTGACCAGGCAGAAAGCAGACTACATTGGGCCGCTGCCAAAGTCACAAGGGTATATGCATGTGCTAACAGATGTGGACACAGTCACAGGCCTGTTGTTCACCTACCCTTGCAGGGTGGCTGACCAACAGAACACCATCCAGGCCTTGAAACACTTATGTCCCCTGTATGGTCGCCCTCTGGCCGTTGAGACTGATAGGAGAACACGTTTCACTGGACGACACTTACAACACTGGGCACAACGAAAGGACATAAAGTGGAGATTCTGTGTGCCATACAACCCACAAGCTGCAGGTATGATTGAGCAATATAATGGGCTCTTGAAGAAGGGGTTATACTTGCATGTCACACTCCTGTCTTTGTAGGGCTGGAGTTCCAGGCTGGACCTGGTGCTCTAAACCTCGAATGAATGGCCATGGAAAGGCAGCCCGGCCCTGGTGGAGGCTTTGTTACAACAGGCTGCCAACCCCATTCAGTTGCAGATACACACTAAGGATGACCTCCTCCAACCAGGTATGATGATGAATGGTAACCTGCTGTTGCCTGACCCAGTGCACCTGAAGGCAGGGGAATAGAAA